TCGAAAATTCTTTTTTACACTCGACGAAAATCAAAATAAATACCCAGAAATGTGCAGAATTTCATGCTCCATCTTTCTAGCCTATTGAAAGTGAGCCACAGGGGGGTGACAGATTTACGGTCTTATTCGGCGGGGTTCTTTTTTCTTTTCTGGTGCATTTCTATTTCGGTTCAATTAAGACGGAATCTCAAGTCTCAGGATCATCTCCTACATACCATTTTGTAGCGAATTAAATGGTGAATCTTTTGCAAGAAACAGCTGAATTTTATTATATGTATTTCATATAGATAACATCAATTTACAAAGAGGCGTCAAAACTTTTGGATCACCCTGTATCCCTTTGATAACATAAAATAAAGTTCATAGTAAAGAAAAACACGGAAAAAGTATGTGTATTTAGGCAAAATATGATGACGACAAGCGGGTACCGACCGGTACCGGTATAAAGTTTGTATACCGGAGCCCGGTACCGGTAGCGCATTTTTGATACCGGACACCCCTGGTTTATCATAAGTATTTTAGTCTTTCCTATAATCTTGCTCAACCGATCCATAGCTGTCATTTTTCTCCTATAAAATATTCTCATTAGCTAGACTGCCAATATCAACATATTTTCCGCTCTTATTTAAGAGAACTAGCCGTAAATTTCAATCTTCTGTACGGCAGAGAATTCACTGTCAACTAATTTAAGGAGTCTTATTTTTCAGACGCATTTTTTTTTATAGTCTCAAGCTTAATCAAATCGCTAACTTTTTGAACTTATCACTTTTAACTTGTTCTCCCTTTGCAAACCAGTCAAACTTGTAATCATATTGTTGTCCGTTCTGCACCGCGATGCATCTCATTAATCGTTTACAATAATCATAATCGGGGCGTTCGTCATAACTCAGTGATCGTACATAAGCTGTTAATGTTACCACTTGTTGAGAAAAACCATAGCACAACTCATCAACATCAATCGATTGTTTCAACTCGGCAATTTTCTCATATTTTTGACGTTTTGTTTTCGCTTTCAAGCCTTGCCATGGTAAACTACCACGTAAAAAGTAGATTAAACTGTAAACCACAGATTCCAAATCATCTCGTCGACTCTGTTCGAATCCGCGATGTGTGTGAATACTTGCA